ATGAATGGATCTTAGGTAGCATGTACCACAAGCTTATGGCTGCTCGCCACCAATCAAGTCAGTTCACTACGATTTAGGTTTTAGATCATCGACTCCTTATCATGGCCATGTCCCTTCCCGACTTAACCCCAAATGACTCCCCCGACCACACCTCACTATATATTATTCCAATGTGCCCCTCCTCCTTCTTTCTTAAAAAATCCCTTCCAATAATATTTATTACTCACTTTCAATATATTCACTAAAATCAATAAAAATTTTAAAGTTTAATAAGCTTTTTATCTTTATCCCTGTGAAATTTACATATTTTAATTAATAATTTATTTTCTTTCATCAATATTTAATAAAGAGTGAAAAGAAAAATTTATGATAAAAATTTAATGACATACCTTATAAATAAGATAAAAAAAATTATTCTCTCCCTTAAATATGACAGAGGGAGTAGCACCTTATTCAAATATTATTAGTCCATATTATATTATGGCACTACTTTAAAAAAATGTCTATAACAATTATTTTTGTCTATATATAACAATTTCTAATCATTATATATATTATGGCACTATATATTCTCTATTCTCTAAGCAAATATATAGCGATTTTTGGAGGTGTATATAGTAATTATTTTAAAATAACTGTTAGACTGTTTGAAGACTAATACAATATAGAAACAAATTCTAGCAACAAATCTAACAATAAAATTCTAGAAGCATTAAAAATTCTAAAAAACATGTAGTTTTTCTAAACTTGGATTTATGAAATGTCTAATCCAGCAAACCAAGACTATTAAGTCTGTTGAAAGACATGAAAATTTCGTCAAATAACTTATAGGCATTTGCAGTTATATATCCCTCCAAGTTTCAACAACTTTGTTTATGACCTGGAGAAGCATGGACAGAGGCTAGAAACAAATTTCTTGAGAAAATGATGGAAGCTATAACTAAAGGTAGAAACGCGAGTGTGGATAGAGGTTGAAATCAAACGATCACGGGATTGGGGCTCGAAGCATGTGGATGAGCTTCGGCAAATGAGCAAGAGCAAGACCAGATCATGACGGCCACTTCAGATCCAATAGGCATTGGCAACTTCAATGGAAAGGGATGCATGGACTTTCGGATCTAGATGACTTCGAAACCTTCAGCTAATGACTAACTTTTTTCTAAGAGTAGAAATCCATTTTTTTTTTAGTTGTATGTTGACTAAATTGAAGGACACAAAAAGATTGCAACCATGGAGAAAGGGAAATACCAACATGAGAAGCAATAGAAGAGAAAGCTTAAGGAGCAATAATGGAAGAGATTAGTAGACGTCAACAACCCATGGCATATGAAACCCATGCTTAAGGATGACAATGGAGACAACGACAATAATCCATGGTGTACCTTCGACGGTTAACAGGGGTTGGTCATAAACAAAGATTCTTGGTAAAGGGGAGCATCTTTTTGGTGAATAAGAGAGGTTTTGTGGGAGGAAAATAGAGTTTTAGAAGTTCTAAGATGTAAAATTCATAAAAATAGAGAGAGGTAAATTTTTTTTAAAATGAATTATATAGGAGTTATTTCAAATAACTGCTATAAAATTTTAAAAATATATAGCAGTTATTTATAAATAACTATTATATAGTCTATGAGATTAATTTTTTTAAAAAAACTATATAATAGTTATTTAAAGCAATCGCTATATAATTCGTAAAAAAACAAAACAAAAACAATAAGATTGCATGACGGTAATTCATATTAACCACTATATAAATTCAGAGATTATATAATAGTTATTGAAAATAACAGTTATGCTCTTGTCTCATCTATACAATAGTTAACAATTTTTCAAATAACTGTTATACAAGGAGCATTATATATATATATATATTGGTAATGTGCAACCATGACCACCACAATATAAGTCCATATATGTTATCAACATCAATGCACGTGCAGTAATTTTTTCAGTTACATACACGGCCTTCGAAAGCTTGTTCCCAGTGAACGCCAAAAATGGCTTCTTTTAGGTGCCTACACAGTACTTGACGATGGCCTAATTTACCAAATCGATGAGTTACACATAAATTTTCCTGTTTTGGCGAAATTACTATGTTCTGCATGGTTAGGGGAAAGAATATGAAGGTGGAGTGCCGATTGGCCCGTCTACTTATAGACACTGAAACAAAAACGTGACAAAGAGTAAGTAATTAGGCGTTGCAGGAATTTTAAGTTCTGGATATCCTTATCAATTTGCCTAATTAAATTAAAACGTCAATGTTTTTTTTCCCCGGATCTTCCACGAGTATTCATCATTTCCTATCAAATCTGATCGCGCGTACAACCTGCAGAATAATTAATCAAATGCACTCCGATGAGATCAATATATATCAGCTTAATTAGTCGTTGTAAATTAAATACTGACGAAAGTGTTTTAAAATTCAATTCAATGATTTTTCAGTAAAGCAAATTCAATGAATTAATTAGAGTAATCAAGTAATCCGGATCGATATCCTGTGTTTTATTGCCAAAAGTATATTAATTAATGACTAGTCACACCGAATGACCTATGGTTCATATATCACAAAAATTGGGTCAACGCGTGGTACATGAACCACATAACATAATGCAATACTTTCTTTTTTTTTTGTTTGGACAAAACATGATGCAATACTTTGGATGCAAGCGTTCTTTTCTCCTCCTCCTCCTTCTTGTCCTTTTCTTTTTTTTTTTTTAAAAAGATACCCTCACCAATGAAAGATATCGCGTAAAGACTGGGTCTTTAGTTACTGTTGCAGTCTAGAACACTTGGTATCAGCAACACACCCGCACAGACTGTTGTCAAGTAATTAGATTAAGAAATTGAAATATGAAAATGATTAAGAATTAGGCATTCACTTATAATTGCGGAGATCCGACGTTAAAGAAGTAGAGTTGTAGGTGGATCTACCAATGGGTGCGAAATTTTCTTTCAGGTAGGTATAGATCTTTCCGAGTTCCCAAGGGTATAATACAGATTAAGGGGTAACTCAGTGGCTCACCTACTGGTGGACCATGTCTTAATGGACACGATCCTTTAAGTCAATGATTTTCGATACACTTCGAGTAACTAACATTTTAATAATTAATAGTGTCAGGGGGGAAAAAAGAGTACTTCTATTCCATGTATCCCACTCTCCTAAAAGTCTAATCCTTACCCGTAATATCACAACAATACAAGCCATCTTATCTTAACCACCATCGGTCTTCCTGTTTGGTTCTCATCGAGTTGGAATTAGATCTACGTACATTATTAACACTGCCATCATGTGGTTTGTTCCCTTCCGTTGAATACTAGTTTTATTCCGAGGATAGTATTAGTTGGGTGAGTTTTAGAAACATTGTATGCTCCAAAGATGAGCGTGATGTCTATGGATATTGTGTGAATAATAACATAATTAATTATACGCAGCACATTAATTCATTAATTCTCCCCATTCACATTCAGAGGGTATCAAAAAAATATTTGTGAAAGATGATCTGCAACCTCCTCATTCCTCAACCTGTTGTACTCTGGAAAACGAAGAAGAAATTATCTAATTAACCGAGAGGAACAAGATTATCTCAACAAGGAACAGGATTGGATGAAATTTTGGTGAGTGAGAATGAACTGGAGGAACAGTGTGATTGGTGAGAAAGGAGGAACATGCTTTTAACGTGCAGCCCCACTATGCTTTATAATGGGATGTGCAAATTGTGCACTTTAATGTGGTTCAATGACCTAATGCCCCATCAACCAACCAAGAAAGAGTCTGTGAAGCCGACTCATAACGTTAACACCAACCCCTTTTCTTTAACTTCTACTTTTTTTCACCACTTTAGTTATCACTTCTTCGTTCTCTTCTATGTATGCTTCTATTATTCGACTTATAGGATTAATCATCTTCCTCATCTTCTTAATTCTAATATAATTTTTCTAATTTTCATGCTTAACTCATCTAATTAGCTTGTCTCATCTTGTTGCATCTTACACACTCGAGTCCTTTGTCGTGCTTGGCATTTACTTGACACACGGAAAATAATAAATTATGAATCCCTTCACAAACGCTACAATTAATAGCTAATAGTTGATCCAGTTCAAGCAATAACATTTTTCAGATGCAACAAATCAATCAATCGATAATATTTTATGCCTGCCCACCTTACTATTATTGCCTCTAATTGCAACTTTTTCCCCTTAATCCTTTTTCAACCGAGTAGTCCTAGTTTTATTAGTTTTATTTTAATATAGATCTCATCGTGTCATAATCGATCGCCTTAAATTTAATTGAGTTGAAAATGTGTATCACGCACCCTTCTCTAAAAAAAAAAAAGAATAAAAAGTCTTCCATGCCCATTCCATCCAAAATAAGTGTCTAGTTTTTCCTAACTAATTGAAAATCATGAGAATATTAAATACAGACTGGTAAGAAGATGCGCCAAATGTTTCCATTGATTGGTAGATAAAAATGTTTTGTTGGCCCAAAAAAACGAAAAAGATAGATGACAATGTTATAAATATCAACATAACATTATATTTTTATATGATTATTTGATTAGATTAAATTCAAGTATTGTCAGTGCAATCAAAGATAACTTTTCTAAAAATATATTTTATATTCACACAATCTTAAATTCTGAGATCTGGTGTTTAAATGAGATAGCCTACTATGTGGGTGGAAAGTCACGTTAATTTATTGAGTTAAACATATCGAGTGAACAAAGACACTACCTCCGTTGAAAAACATGAAGGGGAAAAAAGGTGTGGCGAGAAATGAAGCGTGGAGTGAAAGCGCGTGAGAAATGGAGGGTAGGCTCGATATTCTTTTCTTTTTTTTTTAATTCCGTTAGTAAGACATGGTGACATACATACAAGTTTGGAAGCGCAAGGGAGATTTGGGGTGGCAGGCTGTTTCAGAGTTAGTAGCTGTTTGTTTATAAACTGAAGACGCCTCCTTTCCTATGGACTACGGACTCTCTCTCTCTCTCTCTCTCACAGACACACGACAAATAACAAACCCATTAACCCATTCTTACTCCCATTTCACTCACTTCCACGTATCTCTCTCTCTCTCTCTATATATATATATATATTTTATACATACACCACGCAACACACACATATGTGAACCCTCACTCTCTCCTTAAACCATCCTCTTCTGGTGTCCTCTATTTCTCAAAGTTCTCTTCTTCCATTCTTTTCCTCTTTTGGCCCCAGAAATGGACGTGGATGGCACAGACCAGCTTGTGGGGTCGACCACCTCTATTAACGTCGCCAAGGGCAAACGCACGAAACGCCACAGGCCCTTCTCCGCCAGCGTCACTCACTCCACCTCCTCCTCTGCTTCCGCCGATGATAACCTGTCCTTCAATTCCTCCGCCTCCGCCACTCTGGACGCCACAGAAGAAGAAGAAGAAGAAGACATGGCTAATTGCTTGATTCTCTTGGCTCAGAGCGGGGATGCTCCTCACAAGCAGCCTCCCACCACCAAGAATATCAGCGGCTTCTATGTTTACGAGTGCAGAACTTGTAACAAATCCTTCCCTTCCTTTCAAGCCCTGGGCGGACACAGGGCAAGCCACAAGAAGCCTAAGGTTGAGCCCCCACAAGCACCCGCCGCACAAGTTGCAGGTTTTGAGTTTGAAGAAGGAGGGGAAGATCAATTCAAAGGGAGCTCTCAGGTTTCTCTTCAACTAGCGACCAACAAGGCCAAGATTCACGAGTGTTCGATATGTGGGTCGGAGTTTACGTCCGGACAAGCATTGGGTGGCCACATGAGGAGGCACAGAGCACCGGCCAACACCGCAGCCGCGGGATTGAAGCAAAGGAATGTTCTGGAATTGGATCTTAATTTGCCAGCGCCGGAGGACGATCTCCGGGATTCCAAGTTCCAGTTCACGGCGGCGCAGAAGTCTCTGGTGCTGTCTGCTTCGGCTTTGGTGGACTGCCATTATTGAATATTAGCTTTTTTTCTTTTCACCCGGGTTGGGGGTGAGAGGTGTGGAGGTGAACGATCAATGTGAATTATATGAAATAGAGCGTTTGTTTTTAATTCAGAATTATTAATTAGCATCGACAATTATGTATTCTTTGGACGATTCATTCAGTTTATAATGAATAGATAACATAGTTTGTTGTCGGAGCCGGAATACTTTGAGTGAGTTAGATGGCTAGTGGTGTTGTTGGGTTGCCTTTGATTCACGAAAAGGGAGTGACAAGGGTCCTTTTCTTTTTTACGATGTCCTCAAAAAGTTACGATACTCTCCACTGGTAAACATTTTTTGAGGAGAAAGAGAGAAATTGTGTGTGAGTGTATTTAAAAAATAGAGGGGGATATGGCACGGCATATTCAGGCTATGGCGCGTGGACAGCCACAAGGACAACCAAAAGTGGTGGATTAGGTTCCCTTTGGGTGCTCGTCATTTTATTTGATATGTGTGTGTGTGTGTGTGTGTATAATAATGCTAAGAGTTCTATTTCTCTCGCTCTCAGTCTTTGTCGCCCACGCACTGTGTTTCATTTAATGACAAAGAGAGGATAAAACACAAGAAAACTGAATCCATAAATGCCAGAACCCCCGCCAACTCCAAATTCTGTGGTTGGTTATTTATTGCTGACATGTTCTCTCCTCCGGAGTGGATAATAGAAAGAGGACAAGGAGAAGTGAGATGGGATTAAACGGAGTGAGCGGGGGCATAATTGTGAAGGAGGAGTGGGAGTGAGAGTGAGAGTGAGAGTGAGGATGGCGTAGAATAAAAAAGGCTAAAAGGGAGTTAAGTGCACGTTGTGGAGAGTGGGTGCGGCAAGCGAAGCATGTGGACACATAGGCATTGCGTGAGGTGCAGGATTGCAAGAGGAACAACACACACACACACACACACTACCACGCATGTACTTTTGGAGAGCTTCCCTTCTTCTAGAGTGACCTCTCCCTTTACTCCTCATCCCTATTCTAATTCCAACAATCCTCAAACCCAACCTTACCCAAAAAGAGGGAGACCGAGTCATGGTAAAGAGGCTGTGACGTGCTTTCCAGACTGCACGGCTGTCAAGTGTGTGTAGCGTGGAGCAAGAGGTGGTTGATGTAATTAATGAACAAGCTTGAGAGCTACTGCTGCTAAACACGATGGACGAAACAACAATGGAGTTATGGTGAAGGGGGGAAGGGCAAGACAAGTGGCGATGGATGAGTTGGTTTCGTAGTGGGCCCATTGTCGTATTTGGTAAGCCCAGTCACGAGTCGGCATAGGCCGCCTTTTCTACATAAGAGATACAGCACCTTTGATTTTCTCGTTCGCTTGCTTCGACCGATTCGCCGGTGTTTGGTTGGGCTAATTTGGCCTGTTGCGGCACCGGACAAAAACAAGACGCAATTTACGGGGTCCACTTCATTCTTCCTCTGGCCTTCCTTTCCTTTCTATTATAACAACTTAACAAGCAGTGGTTCTCTTTTGTCCTTTCTTCCGCTCCAATTAGGCCGGCCAAAAATCTGTTTCGCACGTGTTCGGCTTCCTCGATTTCTTAACAGGCACGATAGATCCCTTCCTAACACTAATGCGGATATTTCACCACGTTACAAGAGTGGGCTAGATTGGACTTGTACAAAAGATCGGGCGCGATTGAATTTTGATTAAATTCAAGATCTAATCTCTTTAAAAAAAAAAAATTAAATAAGACAACTCATAATTCAATTTAATCTAGCTATAAAGATTAACAGAATCATACTTGATTTATATGATTAAAAAAATGGTCCCAATAATTCAGTTTTCACTTAACTGTTTTTTTCCCTATATGAGAGTTAACCATTCATTTTATTTTGATAAATTCAATTAAAATAATAAAAATACTTATACTCATAAAAAATTCATAACAATCTCTAACAATAGTAGAAAAAATATTTTTAATTACAATTCAAATGATTTAACTTCATAATTTCAACAACATCAACAACAACATGTAACAAACTCCATAAAAATGTCTAATATACATCACAACAATAATTTAACAATAAATTAAATTAAAATTATATTAAATATAAGGATAAAATGTGGATAAAAGAGATATTGCATTCACACTTCAAACTATTTAAATATATTTAAATTATATTAAAATTATTTAATAGAATTGGGCCAAGCCAAATGGTCTAAATGTTTAGTCTTAATCTTTTTGATCTCTTGAGTTCTTTAGACTAATTTTTTTTATGAATTGAACCGAATTGAATTTGTTCAAACAATTAAATTTTTACACAATCCTGTGCTAGATAATTCAATCCCCATTTTGCACTCTAGTTTATCCTGTTAAACATGATAATCCATATCTACGTTACCAAATTAAAAAAAAAGATTTAACGAGAAAGTCCTCAGAAAATGTTTTTTTTTTTGGGGGGGGGTTTCAAAAATTTCGCTTTGCATTGTGTCCAAGACTAGAGAGAGGGTTTGCGCCAAGTTGCCACGGCCAAAAAGTCCGTGAACACAATATCTGAAGTCCCCAGTTCGATACTGGGCAGCAAAATTCATTATCTGTATTTTGAACCTCTTTTTTTTTGGGGGGGGGGGGCCAGCAACAACAACGGTCTCTAAATAAATGATACTCCCTCCGGTCCCATTTATAAGTCCAATTTTAGAAGGTGTATTTGGTTCCATTTATAAGTCACGGTGCGTCTTTTTAGGTAATATTTGAGAGGTATTTCCAAAATTACCCTTCATGAGAGAGAAAAAGTAATAGGACATTACTTTTTAGATTTGTTATATAGGGGCATGTTTGGAATTTTACTTACTTTTATTCCTTGTACTTTTATTGTATTGGTATTGATGAGGTTGGTAGAAATGACTTATAAATAGGACCGGAGGGAGTATATATTTATAAGCTTTGCTCCAAGTTAGAAAATGAGCGATTGTGAGAGTTGAGGTGCTGTGAGATCCTCGTGCTGCTAAAATGTTGTATTAAAATACATTACGGCTCGTGAGTCCAGCACTTACCTCCTAACTAATGATCTTTTTCTTCTTTTTGAAATAGTCACCATATTGCGTAATTAACTTCTTGGCAAAGTTTGGAATAAATGGGGCCTGGGTCTGGTAAGCAGCCTAAAGAAACATGAACACAGTGACACGAGACAGGTAAAGCACCCACGCGTAGCCTTGCATTTGCATACACAGGTAAATTTTTTCTGCAGTCTCATCTTCGGATGTGTGAATGGATAATCGGAGTCAGGGATTGTGCACGATCTCCTGCACATTAATTGCTTCGTTAAAAAAAAAAAAAAAGAGGCATGGGTAAATTGGGAGAAAGATACAAAAAATAAATCAAATCTTTTGATAGGATATCTCTACACCTAAATGATGTGTCATTTATGATTTTACCATTGAAATTATTTGTTACACCCAATGAACAAGCCAATCAATACATATTTCAGTCTCTATGAAACCGTAATCAAAGATCACGATGTAATCTTTCACGATGAGCTCCTTGTTTCTTTTCATAGTGTCAAAAAGAGGGCGGGGCTTAAAGTTTTCTTTACTAATGAAGTTGAGTGTTTCTATTGAATTTGAAAAAACATTAACAAATATGCCATTTTAGTAAAAGGTTAGAATCTTAAAAGTATGTAGAAACTTAATATCAATACTATAATGAAAAGTATTATATTTATCAAACCTTTTAATTCACTTGTCTCACTTATCATGGATAAGACTTCTATGAGTAATAGCATCATTCTAATTGCTCAAATTGTCTACATCAAATATGACCTATTCATATTTTTAATGATACTGTTGAGATGGGGAGATGAAAGATTAACCTCTACTTTAAACTCTTTGTTGTTTATTATTCCAGCAAAGACAATATTTCTATCATACACCTATTCCTGCAAAGAAGGACATTATAAAAAGTTTATTTCATATCTCATGTGGTAGCACAAAAGAGTTTATGACGAAAGTGAAAGTTAAAATAGAAGTGGCTTCAAAAATTTATTTGGTATGTCTATAAAAGTGTAATATAAATTTTAATTAAAATATTTATTTATAATGTGAAATTATCAGTATAACCTAATCATAAAAACTATACCCACAACAAAAAACAACTTTGACCATAAAAAACATCCATTTGCCACCATAGAACCAACAATCGGCCACCATAAAGACACTAGCAATCCCGGGAAGAACCAAAAGCCACCATTTTTGTGCAAATATCAACCACCAATGATAACTAAAAAAAAAAAAAAATAGACACTATCAAAAAGAGGCAAGCTTTATGAGCGGGCACATGCATTTTGCCCAAAAAAGACAATCTTTGTTGGAAAATACAAAAAAACCAAAAAACAAAAAACAAAACAGCACAGTCAAACCCAAAACCTTTTCCGTCAATGCTGCTCTATTAAAACAAATCCAAAAGCTTCCATTTCTTCAAAGACAACAATGTTCCTATGGAAGTACTCTTCGAGAGGACAGAGATGGAGACAATGGATAATCAAGAAGCAGAAACACAATGAGAGATGATAGGGATCGATGATTGAGGACATTGAGGGATCAAGTCCTCCAAGAGGGAGGCCACGATCCAAGGCTTGAGGAGGGGAGACAAAGGATTGAGGAGTCGAGAGGGGACAATTTGAAGTCATAGAGTCAGTGGCAGCGGCAATGGCGAGGTCATGGCAGAGAAATCACTCACAAGCAACATGGTTATTATATTCTTGATGGAATTGAATAAAAAAAAATTACTCACAAGCAACACGATAAATTTTGATGGAATTAAATTCCTCTAAAAAATGAGATCTTGCACACCAAACAACTTAAAAAATGGGTTCCTCTTCTATTTTCACGTTCTCCCAAATCCATACTACCAAAAAAAAAAAATGTTAGATTGCTTGAGAATTTTAATCTATTTTTCTTGTGATCTGACACAGCCTTTAAAACTATTCACAACCTTTAAAATTAGAAGTTGTCTTCGAAAGAGCATCACTCATTTGAATATAATAAGGCTCAAATTTAATTCGGCAATATAGAATATCAGATATTATATAAAAAAGGAATGTATAATATAAAACATATAAAAATTATATCATATTATAAATAAAACATGAATATAAGAAGTCATTTTATTTTGGCGTAGTTTAAATTTTAAATGTTCTCGGTAAAAAGAAAATTAAATTTAAAGTTTCGAATCTTCCTACCACTACCCCCCAAACCTCCCCCTCTTTTCTGGAATAAAATTTCAAATCCTTCAAATTCCAAGACTTCAACTTCTGCGCTTTTTTAAAACATTCGGGCGCCCGCCTAAATCCTTCCCGCCAAATAGGAAAAGAGATTCGCAAAAAATGACAAATGAATCATAGCCGTCCGCTTCAAAAATCGAAAATCTAACCCTCCACGTCACCGATCCGAACTCAACCCACTCAACGAATCACTTCTCTCGGCCATCTCCCATAAATTCACATGACAATTCTGCTCCTTTCTTCAAATCGCACTCCTCTGTTTCTCGCGTTGATTGTCTAAAACAAAGAAAATCAGCTTTCTGAGAATGGCAAAGGCAGAGAAAAAGCCAGCAGAGAAGAAGCCAGCGGAGGAGAAGAAGACCGCTGACAAGTCTCCGGCGCCTGCGGAGAAGAAGCCTAGAGCAGAGAAGAAGATAGCGAAGGAAGGTGGTTCTGATAAGAAAAGGAAGAAGTCGAAGAAAAGCGTGGAGACTTACAAGATCTACATCTTCAAGGTATTGAAGCAGGTTCACCCTGATATAGGAATCTCGAGCAAGGCGATGGGGATAATGAACAGCTTCATCAACGATATATTTGAGAAGCTAGCTCAGGAATCTTCTCGTTTGGCGCGCTACAACAAGAAGCCGACCATCACCTCTAGGGAGATCCAAACCGCAGTGAGACTGGTTCTTCCAGGAGAGCTGGCAAAGCACGCTGTTTCTGAGGGTACAAAGGCTGTTACCAAGTTCACGAGTTCTTAGGTTTTTCTTTTTATGTATTTGCTTGTTAGGGTTTTGGTATTAGAAGTGCGAATCCGATGTTTCACGACACTTGTGAAGTGGGGACATGCTAGCCTTTGTAATTTTCTCTTTGTGATGCAAATGAAGCTCTAAATTGTCAGTTCCCTCATTTCAATATTGTCTGTTCTTGTTCTTGGTCATCTTCCTTTTTTGAGGAATCGGGTGATCAATTTCAACGAGCAAATAATGATTAGATTTTGGCGTTAGACTTGACATAGCAGGTAAAATACTTATCTCTGTTGAGGATCCACATAACACAGCCATCATTATAAATAATCCTGAACTTGAATTGCGTTCAAGGGGATGTTGGGTACATGCTAAGGTAACCTATCAGATGAATCTGGCTTTTAAGGCACCTGATTGTGGTTTCTTCCAACTGAAACTGGGATGAGTATTGAGTAATATCAACAGATGAAGCGAACAAAATTGTTATCGATTCATTTACGTTTGAAGGAGCTTGCGTAGAAGGCAGGCAATCTACCTCAAAAAATATGTTCACTGAAATAATTTCATTCTTCCACAATTTCTTAAAAAAATTGTGCTTCCCTCCTGTGGAAACTCGAGATTCTAGAAGCTGCAGCTAAAAGGAAAAGTGGAAAAGAGAATTCCACAAGGGTTTTGATGTAAAGAGTTACTCACATCCTTATCCTTAGCTACGATTTTATTTATGAATCCTAAAAAATAGTGCAAAAATTTTATATTTGTGACATAAGCCAAACATGCATTAAAGATTGGCACCTGCTACATTGCGTGTAAATGAATTGCAAGCAAAATATCCATATATCATTTTATGGTGCAATTTTACTCATAAAACCTAAAAAATAAGCAAAAATCCACAATATGAAACAGAGACATACTTTGTCAAGTATTAATTGACTATAAGTGTTAAGCTATTTAAAATTTTATTTAATCTAAAGTGTAAATGAGAAAATAAAAGTGTTCAATATCTTAACTAGCATAAACTTTAAGCACAATATTTATCCAAATTAAATAGATGGAAGAGAGTTTGAGATAACTTGAGTAGCAAGAGAAGGGCGTTGGGGTAGATTATTGAGGAGTTTTGAATGGAAATATTTTGATGTAACTATGATTTGTAACAAGATAGAATGCTGTAGGTAGGATTAATTTCTGTCAATTAGAACAAATCTGAATACATATTTTCACGTTTACACCTTAAGTTAAATAAAATATCAACATCTTTTACATCTACCTTTGTCACAAATTAGGAATTTTTTAACTTTTTTTAAGAATTGATGGGAAAAAAATGCACCATAATTTATTACTTTTTGAATATTTTTAACCCTAACTTCGCTAATGTTTATAGCCGGTCCCAAGCCCGGGTAAAGGAGCGTTGTGTTAGGCCATTAATAGCCAATGTAAAATTTTGTTGAATCTATCATGAACATGAACAATAGATGTTATAATGTTAATGCTAGGTCTTTGCCCGTAAGTAACGCGCTGCATGGCTCGAGTACAGTGATAAGTGAGTTAGAGCCGCTGCATTGGCGCCCGGATGTAGTGTTAAATGAGCAAGGGCTACCGCGTCATTCTAGACGCACACGGCTAAAGAAGTTAGTCCATAAGAGCAAAATTAAATTTGGTATTTGGAATGTTGGGACATTAAATTGTAAATCTGTAGAGGTTGTAGGGGTTATGATTCAAAGAAAAATCAATATCCTTTGCTTGCAAGAAACAAAATGGCATGGAGAAGAAGCTAAGGATATTCAAGAGTTTCAAACTTTGGTATATAGGAAAAGTAAGTGCACGCAATGGAATAGGCATCATTATAGATAAGGAGTGGAAGAAGAACGTTGTAGAAATTAGCAGAATTGGAGACAGAATTATTTCCTTAAAAATAATAATTGGACATGAGGCTGTTAATATTGTTAGTGCTTATACGCCGCAAGTCGGGACAGAAGCCAGTCTTAAGGAATTATTTTGGGAGGATCTGGAGGGGTTGATTCGACACATACCACAGAGTAAAAAGATTTTTATTGGAGGAGATTTTAATGGGCATGTCGGGAGGGAAGCTGGTCAGTATGCGAGGGTGCATGGTGGTTTTGGTTTTGGAGAGCTAAACAATGAAGGACAAACTCTTCTTGATTTCTCATTGGTGTATGATTTTAAGATTGCCAACACTTGTTTCAAGAAGAGAGATGAGCATCTCATCACTTACAAAAGAGGAGCCTCAAGGTCACAGATTGATTTTCTTTTGGTTAGGAACACAGATAGAAGACTTTGTAAAAATTGTAAGGTGATCCTCGGAGATGCCACTAGTACACAATATAAAATTTATGGGGTACTTTTTACATCGATTGGAAGGCAAACGGTGTAAAAAATAAAGGCGGTGGCATTTTTGTAATTATCTTGAATTATGTGACACTTTTTACACTGGGTGTCGAGGCACCCGGTGTAAAAAGATAACTTTTTACACCGGGTGCCTAGGAACCCGGTGTAAAAAGTATAGTTTTTACATCGGGTGGGGGCACTCGATGTAAAAAGGTCACTTTTTACACCGGGTGTTCAGGCACCCGGTGTAACAAGAATACTTTTTACACCGGGTGCCTGGACACCCGGTGTAAAAAGTGTTTTTTAAATTTATTTTTTCCTCCCTTCATTGATCAGTTCCCTCTCCTCCTTCTCATGCCCTCCCTCTCGTCTCCCCTTCGTCCGCCCACTCCCCCTCCCCCTTGTCTTTTCCCTCGCCGGCCCCCCTTTCCCCCGTCCGCCCAGCCTTCCCACTTGTCCGCCGAGCCCCCTCCCTCTCCTCCCCTTGCCGCCCACTCCCCCTCCCCCTCGGTCCGCCCAGCCCCCTCCCCCTGTCCTGCCGCTCCCCCTCTTCCCCTCGCCTCCCACCCCTCTCCCCCTCCCCCTCTTCCCCTCGCCGCCCCCTTCCCCTCCCCCTCTTCCCCTCGCCGCCCCCTTCCCCTCCCCCTAGGTCCGCCCAACCCCCTCCCCCTCCCCCTCGTCCCGCCACCCCCTCCCTCTCCCAGTCCCCCTTCCTCGGCCGTCCATCCCCTCCCCCTTGTCCCGCCGCCCATCCCCCTCCCACTCCCCCTTCCTCGGCCTTTCCCCTCCCGTTCGTCCCGCCACCCACTCCCCTCCCCCTTTCCCCTTGCCCACCCTTTCACTCCCCCGCCCCCTGCCCCTCTCCCTCCCTCTTGCCCCCCTCTACCACTCCTTCTCCCTCACTCTCCGTGTTGAGCCGTTGTTGCTGCAACTGCCGCCACCCAGGTATGTGTTGAATATAAATTTTTAAATTTTATAATGTTTAAATTTAGTTTTTAATGATATTGATTGTTGTTGGGAGTGCTGTTAGTGGCTTCATAAAGCCTCAGGTTGTTGCATGTGATCATTTATTTGGTTTAAAATTGTTAATTTTCTCGTGTAAAATTTTCTAAAACTTTTGAGAAGTCCAATTTTTAGGGGAGACTCTGTCAAAATTTTTTTTAATTTATTCTTTCCTCTAATTTTTTTAAATTTAGTTTTTAATGATATTGATTGTTGCTGGGATTGCTTTTAGTGGCTTCATAAGGCCTCAGGTTGTTGTATGTGATCATTTATTTAGTTTAAAATTGTCAATTTTCTCTTGCAAATTTTTTTAAAAGTCTTGGGAGATCTAATTTTTAGAGGAGATTCTACCGAAATTTTTTCAAATCTTAATTTAATTAGGAACTTAGTTTCTTAAAATAGTTTGAAGATAATAACATTAGTTATATTCTTTAGGAGGTGACATATGGATCGTAGTTGGATGAATGTTAGACGAACGAGTGACGAGTATGGTAATGGGGTGAAAGAATTTTTGGAATTTGCTAAGAAAAATGCTGTTGACAATAGTGAAAGGTTCTATTGTCCTTGTGTTAATTGTTTAAATGAGAGGAGACTAGGTGTTGTCGAAATAAGAGAGCACTTAGTTTGTGATGGGATTTGCAAAAATTATACAATATGGATTTGGCATGGTGAACGATTGGAAAATTATAGTAACACATCTCAATGTGTGGAAGTTGATAATCTTGATGATGAAGTAGAAACGAATGAAGATTAATTAGAGGACATGATCCGTGATGTTGGGGAAGAGGCTTTTGAACGAGCACATGTGTATGATAACTTGTGCACTGACACAGAGAAGCCTCTATACCCGGGGTGCACTGATTTTAGTTTGTTATCTGGGGTGTTAAAACCAGTTACTTTAAAGACAAGAGCTGGGTGGAGTGATCAAAGTTTCACATGGTTGTTAGAGTTACTTCAAATAATGTTTCCGAAGGGCAATGTACTACCAAATCGTTATTATGATGCCAAGAAGATCTTATGTCCAATGAGTAGGAAGTATAAAAAAATACATGCATGTCCTAATGATTGTGTGTTGTACAGAAAAGAGCTTGAAGGGGAGGAGAAGTGTCCGAAATGTGAGACACCACGGTACAAAAAGAAGGGGGCTCCTACAAAAGTCTTATGGTATCTTCCAATTATACCAAGGTTCAAGCGTTTGTTTGCAAATACTAATGATGCAAAGAACTTGATGTGGCATGCAAATGAGAGGATATCTAATGGAAAACTTCGACATCCAGCCGATTCTCCTCAATGGAAGAAAATTGATCAATTATTTCCCGAATTTGACAATGAGCCAAGGAACTTGAGGCTTGGACTTTCTACCGATGGAATGAATCCTTATGGTAGTCTTAGTAGTATACATAGTTCATGGCCTGTTCTTTTGGTGATTTACAATCTATCACCTAAGTTGTGCATGAAATGGAAGTACATGATGCTATCCATGTTGATTTCGGGACCAAAACAACTGGGAAATGATATTGATATTTACCTAAGACCTCTGATTGAAGATTTGAAAGTGTTGTGGGAGGTAGGTGTGGAAATGTTTGATGCAAATCAGAAGGAGAATTTTAAGTTACGTGTTATGATCTTTTGTACTATAAATGATTTTTCCTGCGTATGGAAATTTGTCTGGTTATAGTGTGAAAGGTCATAAAGCTTGTCCAATTTGTGAAGAAAGCACAAACTACCATCAACTTCATGGAAGGAAGACAGTCTACCTTGGCCATCGGAGGTTTCTTAGACGAGATCACCCATATCGTAGATTGAAGAAAGCTTTTC